TCTGGTTTATGTCCGTTCCGTCTTTTAGTTGTATTTTTGAATTGTCTGTTCGAGGCAGCAAACTCCAGCATTAACCTATGCCGCCATCTTGGTTCTCCTGCTTCCTAATATTGATCAAATTCTATAACGTTTACTTTCAAAACGGCTCTTGAATCCATCACACTTTCCATACCCACTGCACCTTTCCCAGTCTGCCCAGCCACCATCGTCATGCAGTGGCCTACAAACTCCTATCCCTATTTCCTCTGTTCCCTCCATACCAGATAAATTTCTTATCTCCATTTCATTTATCTCTTCTGGAGAATTCTGTTGTCTTTTCCTTTGGGGGCTGTTTCTTTGCCTCCTCTTTTTGGCTGCCTGATTAGGTTTATGACTATGTATGAGGTACATCTGCTACATTTCTCAATCTCTAGTGCAGGACAGTGTCAAAAGCTGTTTCTGACTAATTAGATCAGGCAAAGAGTCAAAGCCTCCAGAGACTGCCTCTATCTACTAGTACAGACTGATAAAATTTTGTCTTGAATTGCTCTCAGGTAATCGGAAGCGTTTTTTTCAACAGGGTGGGGCAATTGCTTCTGCCTGGAGGCTAATTGTTATTCTCAATTTCTTAATGGGCCTCAACTACTTAGCTCAGTGGGGTAAAGGGGTTTTCCAATAGGGTGGTGTCTTTCCCCAGCCAAGGTCACTTGTATAGCAAATATCTGCATGAGAAAGATGACCAGTGTGAGGGAATGACTCAGCATAGGAAACTGGGGTGTCTGCCTTCTGGGCTCTAACCTCAGAGCCCCTGATCATGGCTTCTGCTGACACAGTTTTAGTCCACTCTGCCTTACCATATACTCAAGCACAAGGTGAGGGGCTTGACAGGCAATTTTGTGTGTTTGGCCCTTTAAGAGGATGCTTGAATTTCCAGCTCTCTCTCCCTGGCAGACAGTAACTCTGCAGCTTTTCACAGCCAGATGTTATGTGGGTACACTTCTCAGTTCTGGTGCTCTCTGGGCCCAACAGCTCTCAGTGGCAACCCTCCACAACTGAGATATCTCTCCAGAACCTCAGTTGCTGTCTGTCAGAGCCCGGGCAGCCTTTCACACCCCCACTCTCTTACCAGACTCTATGCAGTTTCCATTTTCTGCCCTCGGTTATCAGGGTTCTCTCCAGTGAGTCTTCCGTTGACTATTCAGGAAGTTTTCTGTATTTTAGTTGCGATTCCAGTTTGGTCCTGTGAGCATGTCCGTGCAGCATTCACTTACTCTGCCGCCATTTTAAATCTCTCAGCAATATTCAAGCCTCACCTCAAAGCCAGCTTACCATTGGGCTTTTCATCACATGAATCAATGACTTCCTTTTAAACCATTTAGGGTTGGATTTTCTGCCCCTAGCAACTAGCCTGGAAAGATTCCTGACTAAGATAGGCATGGGAGGGGCTAAGGCAGGAGTGGGTATCGTGTGGCCCATGAAAACATTTGGTCTGGCCCTGCCAAGGCATTAGGGGTGAGTTCATTAAATGTTTGACCGAATATAGGCTAAGTTTTAAGTTGATAATTTTGCATGGCTCGTGAATGATGTTATACATATCCAAATGGTCTTGGACAGAAACAAGGTTCCCACCCTTGGGCTAAGGCCCTGGGTGTGTGGATCATTAACTGTCATAGCCCCAGGATCTGAACCGTCAGGCTGGCAATCTGAGAAGCTGGTCCACTCTTAACATATTCTTAGCCTTGACTCCTTAGCCTGTGTGACCGAGTGTCCTCCAGCACAGCTGGCAGCTCCTGGGTATTCTGGGATAGAATGATAGCTCAGATTTTCAGGGACAGTTGCATTTTTGTGGGATGTGTGGTCTCTCAAATTAACAGGGCCATGTGTTCCTACATTCTTCTATTTCCTTCTGTCCTGGTCCCCAGTTCTTCTTGTGCATCAGGCAGAGCAGCAGGGGGTCACATGCTGAGTCCCAGCAGCCAACAGGCCAGAGGCCAGGAGTGGGGCACCGGGCTGGGCAGACCTGAACCAAACCCATGCTCTTCTCTCCAGATGCAGCACGAAGCTGCTTCAGGAAGGACCTGGTGGTGGAAGGTGATCAGTGGGAGACAATGGGCAGAGGGCAAACACAGGGGCCTCAGGAGGGCCGCACACTGTCCTGTGCATGTGTGCCACCATTAAGGATATGAAAATGACTACAGCAATGATGAGCAACTTGTTAATTCCCAGCCAGGGAGAGGCCATAGGAA